CGAATTCGAGATTTTAACGGAAATACACTTTTGGGGTTCCCTGATACTGAAAACATGTTATTTTCAAAAATTTCCGACTGTCCGTCCGTCCGTCTGGTATCTGTGAATACTACTAGCGCCTAAACTCCGCGTAGGATTTTTTCCAAATTAAAGAAACTCATGTGGATCTGGCTAGAGTTCAATCTTTGAGATTTTGAAAACATGAATTAAAATTTGGGGGTACTTAACATGGAGCCCTCCGGACGTTTTCAAAGTTTTCTTAATAGCGGGTCCAGTTTTTTTCTTTAAATTTCTTGCACGAATAGAGTAAAATACACTTATAAAGATGGCATAGGTCCGATTTTCAGGTTTAACCCCGGATTTGCGAAAATTTCAAATTTTCCCATTTTTTTTCGTGCTTGTTCTTACAACTACAAAATTGAAGATAGAGATTATTCCGTAAAATAATATTTGTTCTCCATAGTGAGTTTCATTTAGGTCCTGCACATTTTTTTGAAATTTTAGTAGTTTTCGCGCAATATTGCGAGCAATATGTGTAATTTAAAAAAATACAAAAACGACAAAATTTTTCTTTAAACTTTTGGTAGGGATTGTGCTAAATGTTAATATATAAGATGACATAAACACCATATTGCTCTATTCTTTTGTTTTTTCTTAAAATATTACAAAAATATCATTTTTTTACTCCTCTTACGTCGTTAATATTTACATTAGCGATACTTTCTGTACATTATTGTATTTATAAGTACATGTACTTTAAATAATGTCGGATAAAGTGTATGGAAATGCTGGAAATGACGTCATATGAAGTTTTCAAAAATCAATAGTTTTCTGTGTAAAGAGGTTCAAATTTCGAATTTAAAGTAGCGTTTAAATGCCATTTTCTTAAAAAACGCACCAAATGGTTCAATAAAAATTGCGATTTGAGACGAGGTTTTACTGTTCTTTAATATTTTAAAGTAAAATTTCGATTCTAGTATTGGGAACCAGAAAAATTAAGAAAATTTTAAAAAAATGTACTTTGGACGGCGATAGTTGGTAACTGGCAAGAGTGGCTGTGGCAAGACCGATTAGAAAGCAGAGACCAATGGAAATAGAAAACTAATACGGAAAATGTGTGCCATTCTGAAGCACCACTAGTTTAAAATAATTTATCAAGCTAAAATATGTTTACGCCTTACTATGACATTTGATGCTAAAATTGATTCTCCAGACACCTATTCAATCAGGGCAAACAAAAAGACTGAATGGTTACATATCATTTGGAATTAGTTTTCTTCAAAAAATGTGGGATGAATTTCACAGATTATTTTCTGTTAGTTATTAAAGTTTTGAGTTTGTTTGATAGTTTGTTATTCTCATATTTTGAATCATTAGTAGGATTTTATTTAGTCAAAAAATAGTAGAAACTGTATGTGACGTATGGGGGCGGGGGAATCAGCTGCACACGTCTTCATGAGTTCCAGAACCCTTTTCCCAATATTTGAACTATAAATAGTTGAAATATGAATAAACGTTTTAAAAAAATAATCAAATTGAAAAAAGCGTTAGTTTTGCAACATTTGTAAATTCGACATTTTCGTTCCCGAGTTAGAGAAAACTTATTTACATCGGCAAACGATCTCCAGATTTGATTCCTTTGTATTGCCAACAAAATAGCACTTCACTCGCAGCTATAACTACCACTACCAGCAAAAGGAGAGTTCAACAAATCGTGAGCATAGTGGAGCTACATTTACGTCCAGAAGCAAAACAAGGGGCCATCTCAGCATTTGCTCGACGGATCAGGGATACTGGACAAAAACCTGAATGTGATGGGGTCATCGACCCGGAAGCTGAAGTACATTACTTGTTGTAGCCAGATTCACAAACATCTGATTTAATTAATGATTATTTTGGGAGAAAAATTCGCGAATGTTATTAACATAGCAATTATCATGGTCTTTAAAAGTCAGTTATTAAGAATATCAGATTGAAATGGATTTCGAGTTTCGACTGACTCTAACCGTTTGTCTACGGATTGTAAATAAAGTGTTAGTAGTCTCAGATAGTTCTCTGATAGTTTGTTAATTTTTGTGGTCAGGTTGTTTACAAAGTCAGTGTGCAATTGTCTTAATCCATCTAACTTTTTATCTGATTCGCCTAACATTTTATTTGAATCAGCTTGTGCCGTTTTTAAATTATTAAACATTTTATTAGATTCATCTTGTGATGCTTTCAACGTAGCAAGAAGTTGTGCAACTGAATCTGAATTACTCGTTACTTGCAAATTGTGGTGTCGCCGACACTGCGAACTGCTTTAAAAATAGTTTCATGTGTTGAAAATTGCTTTCATACTTCATTACTTCCATGCCCAGCTTTGTTCTAATATATTCTTCCAGTATCTGGCATTGGACTTACTAATGAATCGTAGTAGCTGATAAAACTGGCCTGCGATGGTTTCATTGTCGAAATCTTGAATTGCTGTTTAGAATTACTTTTGCATCCTGAATCAGAATCTGACGTTATTTTGCCCACCCACCCACACCACACCACAAGAATCACATATTACGTTTTATCACATTTATGCACTAATATACTTCTTATGTGGTTGCTGGCGGATTTGCATTAATTAAGATTTCCAGATTAATTTATTAAATCAATGTTCTACAGCCATCTGACAACCCTGAACAATACGCTCAAGTTTTGAGCCGGAAACACGGTAAAATGCAGCAAGGTTTGCTGAGTGGCGACATTTTGTTGTGGTTTGTCCGCTAGTGCGAGTTCTGTTTCGTTGACTAGTGAAAAGAGATTTTTCTTAAGTGTTATACAGTAAGTGACATACGGTGTTTAACACATATTTCAATAAAAATATTATCTTTTTATTGAAATTATATTACATATCATGCCTTGGTTGCAAGAACAGTCCCGATACATTCCGTTATGAGTGTGGATGTTTCGTGCCGATACGACAGCAACGCAAAATAAAAGAGAAAGACCTATTACGCCTACTTCAGCATCTAACTGGAAGTCCAAGACAAACCCTGGGCATCACATAGGGCTTGTAGAATATGTATACAGAGCAGTTACGACAGTGGATGAAGGGAGAGAGAACACGTGTGGCGACAACCTACAGAACAACGTACTTATTGGCACTTCTTTTCTGTGAAAGTGAAGGGATTTAACAACAGGAACAAAAATATTATTGTGCCTAGAAGCAATAATCTATCAGTAATTTTACACGTTCCTCGTAGTGCTGATGTAACAGCCACATAGCGTCTGGAAAATTTAAAACACCTATTCTGAATCTGAAAGTGACTGATTTCTCGAAAGATCTTGAAAAGGAACCGGCGCTTTTCATGCAGTGTATTAAATTATTTTCTTCGAGATATTGGTCTTTCAAAGGATTCTGCCGAGATTCTCGGGTCAAAACATCGTGATAGGAACATGTTGGCACTACGTACGACGTACGACGTACTACTGGTACATATATCACGAGCAAGAATTTGCACCTTGTTTTATGAAGAGGGAACTTTGGTTTTCTGCAACAACTTACCGGAGGTTATCTGAAACTAGGAATTCCACAGTATGACCCTACACAATGGAGAATTTTTATTGATTTATTTATAGACCAAGCGTAATTTGAAGTATGTCCTGCTTCACAATGAAAACAAACTTTCATTCAGTCCCTTCGCTCATTCTGTTATTATGCGAGAAACATATGAACTTGAGATTATGTTGTGTAAACTGAAGAATCAGGAACCCAAATGGAAAGTGTGTGGTAATTTTAGTCATATGTGTTCTGTTATTGGAGGTGTCCGAATGAGACAGTCGAGAAAGGTTGCACCACTGGACCCGAAAAGAATGGCCACGTAGACAGTAGATTATATACTCGAAAAAAATACACCAAAAAACTCTTGTTGACAAGTTCGATATACTGTTACCACCGCTATTAATTGCTCATTGCTCTATTAATCGTTTCGTATGAGAATTTAGTGTTGCATTCAAATCTAACATTAAAAGTTTTTTTTTGTGTGTTTTTCTGAATAAGGTCTTAGTTAATTTGAATAAGAATATAAGAAGTTTTGGGTCACATTCATTTGAAAATAGGAATTTGCACACTTATGTAAGAACGTAAACGTGCGAAGTAACAACATAACGTTCATTCATTCTCTAACATTTCTCAGTTTTATTTTCTACCTGTTCACTTGAAATTCTTCAAGTTCAGTACGTTCCGAAGCAATACTGTTCGTAGGTTTTCGGAAATTTATTTTTTAAAATACGATAATAATTCGACTCTAAATTGAAACCAAACTGCAGCGAGATTCACTGGGTATATCACTTAAAGTTCACTTAAAGATGTCAGTATCAGCGTTGCCAACGTCGCGAAATACAATTATGGCGTATTAAGCAAAAATTGCATTTGGGTTCTGGTATTTAATCAACGTCACCTACATAGATGGATTTTGGATGCATTGGTTTAGTTCCTGGCATTATCACTAAGATCGCAGACCCCATCAGAAGTCCGAGACGCGTCGAATAGTCATATGTCTCGATTGGTGCACGTGAAGGGCTCTAGACGCCAGTGACGGAATGACAAAAACACACATCTGCAAATCCGCACACTCAAGAGTTTTACTGAGATACTGTATAGTGATTATATCCGAAGTACCATCAGGAGATTGTGCTAACGTGAATATGTGTGAATATATATATATATATATATATATATNNTATATATATATATATATATATATATAAAGATTAGCATTTCCTTCTCAAAGGAAGTAAAACGCTAATAAAATATCTTTAAAATCTGAATAATTATATTTAATAAAAGAAGAATATTTTATTTAATTACACATTTGTTAATATGAAGTTCACAAATGTTGCGTGAGGTACAATAAAATCACATGTTGTTCTGCTCATGACATTGGGTGCCATTTATCAGAAATGTGTTAATTTTCACATGATTCTGAAGCAAAAATAAACCTGCTGCTCATAATTTTAGGACTTGGAAATTATTCAGGACTTGTGGTGGTAGTATTCTCTGAACTCAAGTTCTGAGCTTTATCAATTTTCTCTATTTGACGCAGTTTGCCTGTAATTTCTGACATGATGATCTGTTGATACTTCTTTTCTTCTCCAAGTTGTTTCATTTCATCTAAAAACTTCAGTCTTTCGTCGATTTCTTCCATTACTAAAACAAATGAAAATACATTATAGGTTTTACTGGCCGCATTTTTACAGCCCTGTAGCCAAAACGAAAATTTTAGAGTGACTGCAAGTATAATAGTGGCTAAGGTAAGAAAATGTAAACACGGTTATTTGGGCAAATCATGACAAATACAATAATTGTAAAGCATTCATACTATTGTAATGTTAAGTTTTTGAAAATATGTAATGGTATAATATACTTGATGCTGAAATATTCTATTTCTTACAATAATTCAATTCCTACAAAAAAAAATGGAAAACCAAGAAAATGTTAGTGACTGTTTTTGAAAAAATTAAATTATAAAAATTGTTTCATGGATTGCAAAAATAGTAACATATATTTAGAAAAATTAAACCGTGCATGTTAGTAGGATGTCTGAGCAACTCTAAATCACTCTGACTAAAGGTAGGATTTTTAAATCAAATTTCAAAATAATGTTAGAACATACAATTATCTAACATATCTGCGTCATCAGGCAGATCAATAATCTCCTCTTCTTTTTTCTTCGTTGTCTTGACAATTTTTTCCATGGGAGGTTCTGACCTTCCATAAGTCATAATGTTTTGGAGTCTTGCTAATTCTTTGGCTCTGTCAACTGAAAGCAGATTTTCTTTAGTGTATGCACAAAGTTCGGGAAGCTGTCGTTACAAACAAATCTACCCTAGATTGAGTCGAATTTAATGAAGAATGGGAGGTTCAGTTTCTTAAAAAAAAAGTATTTCAGAAAAGTATATTGTCACTTTCAGGCATCGGCAAAATTCAATCTGGCAGCTGCGCCTTCGGGCACTGCAGCTTTTCCTTCCGAGCTGGACGCTGGACGTTTACTCGATTCTCTGTGCTACCGATGAGTGTGAAGAGATCAAAACCCCAGTTCGTTCTGAAGATATACAAATGTAAAATTCTGCATTCCAGGATAATTTTGCTGACCCTTTTCCCTTCATAAGTCTTGGATCGTGTTCACCGTTTATTTTTTATGCAGCTGTATAATGTGGAAGTCGTTTTGAATTAATCTAATTATCTGACATTTAATAGATCTATTAAATAGAACACCTAAAACAATTTTTGCTATTAAAGTGTATTTCTCTATTGTGTGGCATAATGCCCGTATGTTTTCTTGAGCCTCGGAATACCAAACCCTACTCCTTTATTAACTTTAGTTGAATTAAGCCCTGATGAATAGACATTTTTTCATCATGGAATTAGGTATAAAGGATAGCAACAAGTGTTGCTGACAAAATCTAATTACCAGAAATTCCTCCCTTGTTATAGAACTTATTTTGCTTCTAAAACGAGCTATAGATTTGATATAATAGTCCCGTATAATAAACATCCTCACACTTCTCTCGCATCCAGCGAAATAAGGTCTCGACAAAACGCGCGCAGATAATACGTGATGCTCTCCTCAGACAAGTTCATAGTTTCACCACAGGGTCGCGTGACCTAAAACAAGAGGGAGGAGACTACATTTCTGGGCCCCCTTTTCCATTAAACATTTTTACTTATATATAACACACTTTACTAGAAGATAAATAGAACGGAAAAAGAAAGTATAACTTAAATTGTACAATTAAATTAATATACTTATTGATTTTATGCTGAACCATTTACGTGTTTCCCAAATGGTTTGGAGAAGTTCTTCCCCAATTAATGTGTGTTTTCTAAATTATCATCTTAAAAAGAGGAATAATAAGGAATTGAACATATTTACAGATACAGTGTTTTATCACGTAGTGCTTTTAGAATTTTTCAGGGGGCACTTTTTAGGAACCTTTTAGAATTTTTCAGGGGGACACTGCACCCCTACCGAGCGCACGACTATAAGTTTACCGATAACACGGAGGAACGAGGTACGTCAAGCTCCATAAGGGCAGCCGCAATGGTGTGGGAACTGAATTTAGCGCCCAGAAATGATTTTTAAATTCAATTTTCTCCAAGTCAATTTTATTTGGAAAAAATTGTTTCTTTCATTCTTCATGAAATTCAACACAAAATCTGGAGTACTTTTTAACGGGAGTTTCCGGGACCATGTATTGCATGCAAATACACATGCCCCTGTTAACAGACCACCTCAACCACGGATCCATCCCTACATACTTGTCGCAATTTTTTTTTAATTTACCCCTTTTAAGAGAACATTTCCAGGAAAATTGTAGTATGGTATCGTCTATAAAGTGCTGCTAAATAGGGGGAGGGAGTTTGAAGAAGTGTTAGGTGCGTTACATGGGCGGTATGGGGTGTTATTATAGTATTACGTTACGCTGATATTGTTTGTTAATTTTAAACATTTGCTGAAATAATTACTTTTATTCAGTTCTGCCCTAATTCAGTAAAATATTAACACGCTTAATTCAAAAATGTAAATAAATTAAAAGTTATAATATATAAATATTTTCAATAATTGAAGATATATTTTTATCGATGGTGTATTGATTGAATCTTACTTCACGAAGAAAATATTTGTAACTAATCTGCAGTTTATTTTAGAACACAATTAAATTGACGCCGTAAATTTCGCCCTTGAGTCCTCCACGACAACGTGCACTATTGTCCGAATAATATTTCTGGCTACTTGGCAGCTCGGTGTGGGGTTTGCCCCTTACTCAGGCGGAAGACACGTGGTCATGTAGTCGTTCTCACATCATCAGTTCACAACAGCAGTAGAGGCCAGAAAGAAATCGCAATAAGAGCACTAAGAATATTACAGAATAAACACGGTCCTTTAAGCAAATGTTCATTGAAAAAAAATGGAGATATGCGTTCTTGAGAAAATGTATTAAAGGTTCTGAAAACGCGAAATTTTGAGATCATTTCTCAAAACTTCTGAGTTTTCGAAAATTTTCTTAAGAAATCTTTTGAAACACTTATCTTTACAAATGCATGAATATATAAAAATGACGGTAATTTTAATATTAACGCCATGAAAGGGATATAAAAATTTACATTTGTGTAATTTTAAAAAAATTAAAATAATATATGAAAATGGCGTTGATGTCATGTTATTCAGGACATGTAGTACTATCCATGAAAAAAGGTTAAAAAAATTTAAGATGTCTCTCTACTCCGAAGCGAGAAAGTAAAATCCCGAGCGTCTATCATCCTGACACACTCCAGCCCTGAAGAAGATCGCGATGTGATGTCGGCATGGCTGCCATCGACGGGGACCCGGACAGCCAAGAGCCTTCACATGGCTCTGGCCGCGGGAGTCAGCGACCTCATTCCCACCGCTTCTCGCACAGATCGCTGGCTCTACCAACCCCTGGGAATCCGCGGGAGAAACGTGTCCCGCTCGTAGGCCCCGGAGCGCTCGATGACGTGGCGCGGGCGGCGCGCGGCGCGGGGCGGCAGCAGGTGCAGCGCGGCGTACGTCTGCGCGTGGCCTGGCGCCTGCGCGCGGCGGGCGGTGGGGGGCAGAGGGCGGGCGCGCGCGTCGGCCACCGGCAACGGCTCGCCGCGGTCCAAAGCCTCGTGCACGCGCTGCCGCAGCTGCAGCGTCAGCCGGCTCTCTTGGATGAGGTCTGCAAAGCAAACGGGCAGGTCTTGGCGAAACAAAGTGGCCAAGAGGAAATGTTTTCTTGTGTTGCTCTCATATCAAAACGTCCGAAAATGAACGGTCCTTCCAGTTTGTTAAAAATTATGCTAAACAATTCTCTATCAGACGTAATGCACTTATTGGAATAAATTTTAACTCCGTCGAAACTAAGCAAGTTGGGGCCCTGGGTAAAACTGAAATTTCGGATCCCCCTCCCTCCCAAAAGTTGAAAAATACATATATTATTTATCAAAGAATACAATTGTTAATTCAACATAATTTTACGATATAACATTAAATATTAAGTAATGACTAACAAATTCATTATAGGTCTCAAATTAATAGTGATTTTATGTAATATCGGGCTACTACACCGTGACTTATAAATTCCTTTTCAGAATCGAATTTTCTCTTTCTCCCTCTCCCTTTCTTCCGCCTCTTCTAAAATATTGAAATCACCTCAACATGATCTCGATTTTTCAAATTTAACAATTTTCCTGTATTTTGTGTTTCCAATTTTGAACCCAGGCTGAAGTTTTGGGTTCTTGGCCTCGAGCTGGTATTGATTTAACTTCGTTTAGTTTGTTCGAACTTAGAAGAACTTTCGTCTGTTTCCGAAAAAAGTATCGATGCTTAAATTTAAAAAAAAAAATGCCTCGACTTTACCTCCCACAGAAACCTGTAGCAGAAACCATCTTGTATCTGAATTTTACGGTAAACTAGGAAATTAAAAATACTTCGTTTGTTCACATGGAATTCCAACCAACAGTATAAGTTTAAAAGAAATAGTCTTACCGTTCACAATCTTTCTTGTTTCCGGGCTGTATTGAGATTTAGCCACATTAAAGATGCCGCCTTTGATACTGCGGTTGCTGCTGATAGGTTCCATTGGTGCAAAATACCACGCCCTTCGCTTGAATTTGTCTTTGATTTTTACCTGTCGCTTTACTTTTTCTCTTTCCTTCGGCCTCCAAACATTTCGTAACAAATGCCTAGTACAATCCAATCAGTAGGTACTCAATCGTACTGTTGCTATAGCAACTTACTCCACACTTCCAAGCCGGTAATGAGTTGGCAGCAAAGAAATCGATGTCCCAGGCAAACGCTTTATACGCAGGGAATATTCAATATAGGCACTTAGTTCCAGGAGCATATGTATAGATTTCCATAATACTGGTTATTTTTTTTTATTATTCTACTAACAATATTTCATAAATTTGAAAATGGTCAAAAATGATCAAAAGTTCTATTACACTTTTGAATTATTATCAAAGTCCGTAAATTACTCTCTTTTCTTACTAATTTCATTCAGTGGAAATTTTCTTCTGTCAGACTTTATGCTTAATGAACAATAAATAGCAATTTTATGTTCAAATCATGATTTTTAAATGAATTTTTTGTTTTGTCCACTGGATGTCTTCTTTCTTTTAAACTTACTAGTGTGTATTAAAAAGCCTTTCACCAATGACAGGAGAGTAATTAGAGAATATGCAAAACATCTCAAGTTGGTTGTACTTACATTCAAGGAAGCAATTGTCATAAATGTTCATAATTCTTCATAATTTCAAAAATTTTTAAAGCAAAACCCCAAGAATTTTAAGAAAATATATTTTCATTTAATAGAATTCTGCATCTCTGAGATTAAATGTTCAGAGCTCTGTGCCACTTTTACCTTTTTTTCTCAGAAGAGCAGTTCAAAAGCATTGTATTCATATGCAAGTATTAAACAGACTTAGTGATGTTATGACTGCCTTCTTTATTAATGTCTTGCAGCAAGTAACTTGTAAGACTTGCCTTAATACCTCAAGAAAGATAAATGTAGTAGGAACAAGTGGATTAAATTATCTGATTTTAACAGAAAATTAGTGTGATGTATCTCTAGAGCACAAAATTATTTAATTATTTCAGAATCTTTATATGAAACTTTCAGTGTATTTCTTATTATCCCAAATAGGAGAATAAAAAACCACAGCATCTAAAAAATAAATATTTTGTAACACAATGTAGTATAAGCTGTATTAGACACATGTGCCTGCTGACCAGTGTTAATGCATGGGCCTAACGGATCCAGACCCAGAGTCCCCGATAGTTCTTAAAAAAATATTCAATACTACATTTTTCAAAATATAAAAAACCTATAAAAATGTTATGTGTGATTATACTACATGCTCCAATTTGATATAACGGAGTAACGGGTCATGCATCATCGGATAATATTTGTAATATAGAATGTTGCTAGTTGATGCGTTTCAATTTTATGTAGCACAATTCAATAAAAAATTTAAACTATTTAATTTGTAGTCTTTTTTCAACATAATTATAAATTTGTTATTCTTACTTACTTTTACAAATATGTTTAAATGTTTTGTTTCAATAATGTTAAATTGAAATACTTAAAAAATGCTTTCAAATTAAAAAAGAATGAAAAAAAAATTATAAAAAACAACAAACAAATACAGTGTTAATTGATAGGATTTTCTTCAGCATTGAAATTGGAGAGGAATCAGTGAAAGAAAGAATAGGGGGACCCAAATTAACCTAGGTCCAAGGACCCCCAAGGCTGTTAAAACAGACTTGCTGCTGACAATAGGTATCTTTCAGTGATTTCAAGACACTAGTTTATTTTTTGGGGATAAGATCAAAACAAAATAAAACTACATGAGGGTAAGTAAAACATATAATTTTCATTTTCATTTCATAGAAAAAATGTTATATATCACATAAAAGTACACACAAAAATTCACATTTTTTTCATGTATATTTATAAAACAAATTAAATACATCAGCCCATAGGGTTGTTTGCCCTTCTAAGAGCAAGGTAACCAGCAGTGATATCCATTGGCAAGCAACGTATAGTGCTGAACTCTTCTGCCATTGCATAATATAACTTCGTCTGTGGATCAGTATATTTTGCCTGAAAAATAAATAAAAAATTATGTAATTGAATGAAAAATGTGACTTTTTTTAAAGACAATGCAAATGAAATACCCACAAGAAGCACAGTTAACAATCTACCTTTTCAAAAACTTATGACAAATGTGCAGTTCAATTGTACCATTAATTTAAAAAAAATGAGAATGAATATGTTCACAACTGTAAAATGTTTCAGAAAATCGAGCAAAGAGAGTATGACAATAAAAGAAAGAAATAAATAGGTTGATGATCTCAATATACCACGAGTATTTCAAAAACATTTACTAATGAGCAATCTCGAATGGCTTTCACTAGAATTGACCACCTACAACAAACTCTGGGGATGAATCCAGTATTACACCTTTCCAAGCAAGAAGCCAGGACCATGCAGATTGTCACATCTCCCCTCCACAAAATTCACTAGTAAGCTTGGATTGGGTACTACATGAAATATGATACTGCAATATGGAAAGTGAACAACTAACTGCAAACTACTCATGAACTTCAGTTAAAAATCATTGCATATTGGTGTATAATATCAATGTTAAAAACTATAATTTTCTACACATCAAAATGATCATCTATCCCAAAGGCAAAGGACACTATCTCCATGTCTTCTGATTTTCAATTTATAATTGCATTTTAATAATTAGAAAATGGCATCTTAAGACCAGTGTGGAGTTGCTGGTCCTCCAGTGGGCGCCTCCTCAGGAGGCGGATAGGGTGATGCCTTGTCAAGCTTGTCTGGAGGGTACTGGAAAAATTAAATAGCCGGGGTGGACCAAAACCAGCTAGGAGGGAGAAGAGGACAGCAAGAGCTCAGAAAACAGAAGAGATGCCTGACACCTCTCCAATGGCAGAAGAGGCAGGATTGTGGGATACCAGAAGGCTTTAAAGTGGGTTACATCTCCAATATATTTAAAGAAGGAGATAAGGAGGTATGCTCCAATTACCGTGGCATAACTGTCCTGAGTTCCCTTGGTAAAATTAGAAAAAACAGATTGGAAAATTAAATAAATAAAATGGAAGAACAGAATGGCTTTCAAGCAGGTAGATCTTGCATTGATATATTTACCATCTGACAAGTTACGGATAAACGACTGGCACATATCCTTGAGAAACTTCGAGTCTATATAGACTTGCAAAAAGCTATATTAGTACCATAAATATTAAGGCCATTAGAGAGTTATATTCGGATAATATTGCCTATGTCACTTTAGGAAATAGCATACCAAAAGAAATAAAGATAAGTAAAAGGCTAAGACAGGAGTGTTGCATAGCACCAACCGTGTTCAAAATCTATCTAGGAAAAGCTCTAAAATCTGGAAGAAAAAATGTGAAAGGATGGGAAAAAAATTAAATGACAATATGTTATATTCACTAAATCTTGCAGATGACCAAGTGATATTCGCAGCGGATGAAGACAATGCACATTACATGTTAAGGAAATTAAATGAAGAATATAGAAAATGGGGCTTGAAAATTAATTTCAAAAAGACAGATTACATGGTGGTAGGAGGGACAGGAAAAGATTTATTAACGGAAGGTGATTAGGTTGTTTAGTGTTGTCAGACGTGTAAGATTTTATAAACAGTTTTAACAGACCAAGAGGGCAGTGAAGGGGAAATTAATCACCCTTTCAACAAGGAAAATGTGTTATTCGTCAATTACATTCAATACAATTCAATGGAATAAAAATATTGCCAATAAAGTGAAAATTACAATTTATAAAAATATTATGGAAGATGCAGCTGTAGTGTAATGTTAATGGAAAGAATAAGAAATAAAAATTTAAAACAGCAAATGGGTGTCATTTCGGATATAATGGATACAATAGAAGGGAGAAGGGTAAATTGGTATGGGCATCTTAAAAGAATACTGGAGGAAAGATGGCCATTAAAAACATGGAGGTGGCAAGTGCCAATACACAGAAAGGGAGGTAGACCAAGACTTACATGGTATGATGGTGTGTGACAGACAATGAAAGATCATCACATGAAAGATGATGATTGGTAAGATAGAAGAAGATGGAAGCTTTGGTGCAAAGAGATGCCGCATGGTGTAGTTCCACTTGCAGGGGAAGTAGAAGCATATTAAGAGCAACATTGAATCAATAAAGAAATTCATTTTGATGATACTAAACATAGATTTAGTTAATGCAGAAAGAGTAATGTCATTAATTTTGATTAGATATGCAAAATTATGAAAAATGGAGCATGGTGATCTTTACCTTTGGAGTACAGTACAAAACTATTCAAACTCTGAGAAAACAATACTTTACCAGCAACCCAGAAATATCTGAATATTTCTTTGGAGGCTTGAATGATGGTGGAGCATCTATGCAACTATCTGCAAAATATAACAAAAAACACTGATGAACGAAGTTTGTTTTATCTGGAAGAATGTAAGCACAAGAAATATAAGCTATAACATATTTGCTAATAAAAAAAGTTAATATGAAGATATTAAAACATTATATAAAAATGCTCTGCAAATTCAAATAAAATAACAGCAAATTTGGATTAATCACTTCCATTTATTTAGTTATATTTGCGTACAAAATTTAATTATTTTCACTTACACTAAAGCCATTGATAAAACATTTTCGCACTTTCTTAAATATGAATTGTTTACTACTTAATGAAGAGATTGTTACAATTAATTTTGTTAAAATATTATTTATAGCTATGTACTACTTTCAATACTTGTACAAAACCTTTGCTCAATAGAAAGGGCACAATGGTCTTGATGTAATATCAATGTCCTACTTTAGCTAAGAGTTTGTAAGCTAACAGTTTGTAAACTAAACGAAAGTATTGAAGTCAAATATTAACTTAAATCACCTTGATCATTGTTTTGAAAACTACCAAACATTCAAAATTTGTAGAGATTCCAATGTTTTATTCAATTACTATTTTCTGTATTCTACTTATATTTCTAAAAAAATTTCACAATTAAATTTGAATCCAATTCATACATTGAAACTTCCAAAAACCAACATAAAAGTCCCTTTAAAAATATGAAACGAAAAGCAAAAGATGTTTTTGAAATAAAACATTTTATTGTTACAATTCAACTTTCTTTTGATACTACTCAGCAAACACAAACAGTTTTATTAACTCCTTTTTAATCTTTCATTCAAAAAGATAGAAATAACTTAACAACTTGCTTAGCCAAAATGCTATGCATTACAAGGAAGCAATATAAAGTAAAAAGAAGTAAATCAAGCATAACTTACAATGCACACAATCATCTTTCCATGGAAGAGCACGCTCTTGCGCTATTATTTGTTTCAAAGACCTCCAAGCACGTTTCTTATTACTACTTTTGCTTGTATGCTGTAAGAAATAGTTATAATAGTGCTGTAAGAAATAGTAATAATTCTGCACAAATGATAAAAATGACTTTTTTCATCAAGAAATACTCAGGGCACAATTCTCAGCCACAGAGATGGCAAGAAAGTGAGAGGGTTTGCATTAAATTTGGACCCTGCTCTGGCATTTACCAAGAACTAATCAGAGCCAATGACAGAATTCACTGATGGCGGTGGTCAGAGTCTAAAGTTCTCTTCCACTGAGTAGCTTTGATGCTGGATTGCCACTGTTAGGATAATCTAGACTCAATTGTTATTGCTTAGTTGCAAAAATTTGTGACATTAATTTGGTAACAATCAGATTTAGCTAAGTACTGTACAAGATCCGCAATTTAGTATCTGAAGAAAATGAATAATAACAAATACTTCATTAGATCAATATAATTAAGGTTTCCCTTTTACCATCCATCAGAATATCCATTTAAATATAACACTCATATATTTATTGGCAATGATAATTTTATATAAAGCTCAAATGGTGAATGTCATTTAAAACAGTTGAATTCTTAGAAAGCAAAACCTTAGAATCCTTGAAAATTGAAAAAGAAAATTTTTTTTTTTTTTATTTACAGCATCATTAAGATTCATTAAAGATTAAGATAATGTTATTGGAATCAATTCTTCAATACTCTAACTTAAAATGATGTCATGTTAGAGTTTTCAAAAGTATTCATAGTTTTCAAGATCATTGAATCAAATTATTTCAGTTTCCCAAAAATGTGTAAACAAGATTTTTTCAAAAAACCACTCCACATTTTAGCCTAAACATTTTCATACAAAATTAGAGTTTGCTTTTTAATATTTTGTATGGTGAGAAACCTGAAATGAGAAGATGCCCAGGAGAGAAGTGTGTGGGCAAAAGTATAGGAGGCAGCAGAAGCTGTACGCCCTCCACATGATGATATATGTGACTCCATAAACAGAGGTGCTCCCGAGTCCCTATATGACTCATAATAAATTATGATAATTATATATGTGATTCAATAATCAGAGGTGTTCCTCAGATTTTACTCAGGAAGGGGGGAGGATATAGGGGCTAGAGCCTCCTCCCCCCCTTCTTGGGTGAGAGACAGATCAATAAATATTAAATTATTATTAAAGCCAGCTACACCATTCAAATTGCCGTAGTTCTTTAAATTTCTCGCACAGTGGGAAACACTTAATAGTTTATCCTATTGATTTTTCCAATATATAATTTATTATAATAAATTATCTTACAAATTTTTTAAATAACATTGTCTATTACTTCGACGAACCTGGAAATTTGAGTCCTTGAAAATAGGCCTTTTTTCTTCATCTGCACTTGCATCTACTGACACTGGGCTGGGAATACCTGATCCGTTTACGCTACTAGGAGCGCTATCTCCATCACCTACAGGCTGTAAACAAATATTTATCTTTAATTGTCTTGATTACTCACAAAATAATGTATTGACGTACCACTTACGGTGTTGGGACGTTTCCGTTTCACCATTGCACAGGCAGTGTCTTTTTGTTTTATATTACACTGCACAACATTGATTCTAATTCATATACTTATAGTTCCTTTGACACATTAATAACTAGAACAGTTAATCACAGCAAATCTATGTAAACAATTAATTAGATTTTCTTCTATTAATATTCTCCGTATGTTCTTGCTCTTTGCTTTCACATTAACCTCAACTCGCAACGTTCACGTTAGGAAACAACAACCGACAGATCAGCTGATCGTTTGTTTATGTACGTTAAAAAAATGAGAGAGACAGAGAGGGAGTGAGAGAGACACAGAGAGAGAAATAAATGGGTGAAAACCTGAACGATAAAAGTGACATTTATAAATTCTGAGAAAACGTATTTATTTTAGGCTATATTTTAGTGGAAATGTATTTTTATGTTTTAATGAACAATTGAAATGCCGTGGTTTTATTTTCGAAACAAAGCACCTCGACTTTAGAGCAATATTGACTTTAATAAACACATTTCTCGGAATTTATAAAATGTCCCTTATACCGTTCTGATTTTCACCTATGATCAAATGATCATGATTTTAAATTTTAATGACGATAATATTAATGTAAAATTGAAAATGTGTCAGTGTACTCTGAACGTGAATTCACAGTAAGATAAAGATTTGTAGAAAGTAGCTGATTCCATTTATGACAATCTTCACATGGACCAAGTTGAGAGGAAAGACCAGAACGCAACAAAAATTTCACACCAAATGACCTACTTTTATACAAAGGAATACATTTTTTAGGTTAATTGGTTTCTTCTTTAGGAGCGGATCCAGCCGATCATTGGGGAGGTGGGGCATCGTCGATTTAGTTAAATAAACGTATTTGTTATTACATTGTATATTATTTAAAAGCTCAAAACTGAATGGCACGAATGCGAAAACAGCCTAAAAGCGGCGCTATCAAACCACTTTTCACCTGAATGGGAAAAGAGCATGAGAGAGATCAATCATGCGCAGTCCCAGGACACCGGGCCCAGACCAATTCGCCCCCTCTCTCTCTCTCTCTCTCTCTCTCTCTCTCTCTCTCTTCTCTCTTCGTCTCTCGCTCTCGCTCTCGCTCTCGCTCTCGCTCTCGCTCTCGCTCTCGCTCTCGCTCTCGCTCCTCTCGCTCTCTCGTCGCGCTCGCCTCCGCCCTCTCTCGCTCTCTCCCCCCTCTCCCCCTAGCATTTCAATGCTCTCGAAACCCGGAACAGACACCTCTCTCTCCCTCTCTCCCTCATCTCCTCTCTTCCCTCTCCCTCTCTCTCCTTTCTCCCCTCTCCCCCTCTACCGCCTCTCCCCCTTCCCCCCCTCCGTCTCCCCTCTCCCCCTCTCCCCCTCTCTTTATCTCCCTCTCTCCCTCTCCCTCTCCCTCTCCCTCTCGCTCTCCCTCTGATGAACAGATGAACCTGACTCTGATATGGGCTGAACAAAACCACTTCACTCTCTCAACGGAAATGTCTGCTACTCTCGCCGCAAACACATAAAGCGGTTTACGCCGCCCAAACAAATCACAATCGGGACCTAAAAACATAAATGCGCGCCTAAGGCAACTTTTACCTGGGCGTCACTTTCGATCGGAGGGCGCACTTACATGTTAGGTGAGTCTCTCTCTCTCGCTCTCTCTCGCTCTCTCTCACTCTCTCTCGCTCTCTCTCTCTCTCTCTCTCTCTCTCTCTCTCTCGCTCGCTCGCTGGCTCGCTCGCCCTCTCGCCCGTCGCGAACCGAACTACTTCACACTTAGCAGTAAAACGCAATTTGCGCGCGCACTGCAATATATTTCAGAGATCAAAATTCTCGACGACCATCGGCTACGCCGAAAAAAACAGCAACGCTGATTACGCCAAGCACGACTAAATAAATCTACACAGCGATGCGGAGCGTCAGTCCGCCTGCATGTGTTCGTGTTATAAGGTCCACTCTTATTCTTATGTGTGTTACTATTGAAACATAGAATGTACGATTTAAACAAAATGTTTGTGCATTTATCTAATAGTTCATCAATGATTAACTATCAGTAAGGACATACATTTTCTATTACAAAAATTGTATAAAATCTTGAATTATCAGCGTATCAACAACTCCGATGTTGAGGCAGATGTATGGTTCAATTGATTATAAATACACAGTTATTCAATAAAAACTCAACCTCTAATATTTTCTAATCTAAACGGTTCAAGATATTAAGATGAAATTTTCACTAAGCAATTTAGGTCATAAGGCTTGTCATTAAAAGCTTTTTGACAGATTTTTTTATTTTGAACATTATTATTATTATTATTATTATTATTATTATTATTATTATTATTATTATTATTATTATTATCTTTCAAGTTTCTCGCTTAGTGAGGTGTCCTACAGTAGACACCGGGACCTTTGGAGAACCAAGGTGCTTGCTCCGCTTGCAAAATTTCGCGCGTTTAGGAGTAAACGTGAAGTTATATCAATAAAAACTTCCTCGCGATGCATACAGTACTCAGGAGAATAGGCATTGATTGAATGTGCCAGTTCTGAAGGCCAAGCCTTGCAGAAGATAAAATCGGTTCTTCAGAGACCAGTCCATTTGCAGAGACTACTTCAACAGACACTAACCGCCACATGTCGCTCAGTTCAATAGCCAAGGTTTGATATTTTTGCTTCTTCTCGGCAATAGAGACAACTATATTTCGGTCTAAAGGGACAGCTATATCGATTATAATCCCTTTCTGTGAGACATTATGAATCCATATTATGTCAGGTCTGTTGGCTTCGACTCTGCGATCAGTGATGACTGCTACATTCCACAAGAGCTTCCACCGTTTCGACTCCAAAACTGAATCCGGCTTGAACTTATAGTATGGAACCTCTTTTTGTACCATCTCCGGCTTTGCAGCCAGCGCCTGATGGACAACAGCAGCAACGTCTTTGTGCCGACTCAGGTATTCTGTTTACACCCAAGCAGAGCGCCCACTCATTATGTTTCCACGTTATGAGATTATGGCGGGCTGACGCCAGCCGGCGTAGGCCCTGGATAGCCTCGCCTCGAGGTTCCCCGTGTCGCTGGCGGCGCTCCGCACCAGCGAGCTCGTCGGTGCGCGACGTAACCTTGCGCGCGCGCCAGCAAAAAACGGCTGACCACAGCACTTCCATCTCCACATTTGTACGTGGGCTATATACCACGATAGCACTACAATACCACGATAGTACGTCATGGCTTTATAATGCGCAGTCCAAGAGAAGTGCTCAGGCACTGGGAGGCAGGATTCATTAGAATTCGTCTCCGCAGACCATTCCTGATTAGCTGACGGAACTTTATTATTTCTTCCTTCATCAGTCTCGTTCATATTCTCAATACCCAAGAATGCTCTGACATTCTCCCTGATGGAATTTATTTCTGCAGCTGAGAGAAAGTTTCTTACAATGATAGTGCGCTGCTGGTCGCACACTCTCTGCTCGGATTCCGATATGTTCGGATGTAGCTTCAACCATTCTTCGTGAAATCACGTCCTGTATCCCTCCGTGTCCGCTTCAAGTAGCCAAAGAGTACGCATGTAATGGAGATATTTAACTCCTTAGTCCACGCGCTGGCGTTTGTTCTGAGGAGGGGCAGGGTGAGCTGTCATCTCACCCAAGCTGCAACTCCCAGAATTTGTTTGTAATGTGGTGCTGGTGGTGCAGCGCCACACGGATGCTATGAGGCTCCACTGCTCTCTACTGGCACAGGTAGCACATTTCTCACTGCGAGCCCGGTGCCAGAACTCGCAGCGCAGCCTTGCAAGTGCGGGTCACATGCGTCACGACAACCTTGACTTCTTCTCATATCTGCTTCTCCACCGGCGGACCGGGTAAGATTCGAGGGTGGAAGCACCTCTCGCCTCTGAGCCAGAGCCCCATGTGCGCAAAATCACCCAACCCCTAAGGTCGAAGCTAGGCACCTACAGCCCGCAAGAATATAGAAATGGCTATTTCGGATGCCGCCCCATCTCTCAGTTGCCAGTTGGTTCGCCGATCCCTTTCCCGGAAAACAGGGGCACAGGTTCCAGAAGAACAGACTCCGATTTCGCGAGTTGCCATTGCTCTGATAGCCGACATTGAATAGTTCCTTTTCCCATCCCACATGTGCCGACGCTATTCTCTCAGTCCACTTAGGGTTGGTCTTCGGGAAAGTTAAAAATATAATAACAATAATAATAATAATAATAATAATAATAATAATAATAATAATAATAATAATAATAATAATAATATCGTATAAAGAGAAACCCAGATGTTCACAATCACACCAGTTTTATATGTATGACCTTAAATTATATGCATCTAATAAAGATCAACTACAGAGTGAAATGGTGATTGTCCAAAACTTCAGCAATCATATCTGCATGGAGTTTGGCTTGGATAAATGTGCGACGTTGCATGTAAAACGTGGAAAAATCAAAATCAGGAAGGAGAATTACAAGTCTCCAGGGACACCATCATTCAAACCCTTGGAAACGAAGACTGTTACAATATCTAGAGATGTTGCAACTATTGGAAATAACTGATTCAAATGCCCGAAACAGGATACAAAAGAAAGTGGTGGAAAGTGGAGTTAATAAGATCTGTGAGACGAACATCAACTCAAAAAACAAAATTTCTGCAATAAACACATGCGCTATCCCTGTAGCTACTTACTCCTTTGGTATGATAAAATGGACGGATACTTCTCTCCAAGCCATTGACAGAATACTCAGAACGACACTCACCAAGCATCGACTTCACCATCCTCATAGTTCGACACAGAGGTTATATCTATCTCGAAACGATGCAGGCAGAGGATTGCTTAATTTACAGACACTATGTCTTCAGCAGGAAGAAAAACTCCGTCAGTATTTTCTTTCAAAAGACACCCCAATCCATATTGCAATATGCACGCAAGATAAAAATATCAGTCCATTAAGTCTAGCCCAAGAGAACAGAGAGTTCCTTCACTTGACAAGGGATGACAGAATTGATATATGGAAGACGAGGGAATTGCATGACCGGTTTAGAGCAACATTGACATCTGATGAAATTGATCTGAGATGGTCCACAGAATGGCTGCGAACAGCGGTACTCTATAGAGAAACTGAGGGTTTCCTCTTCTCTATTCAGGACCAAGTGATGAAGGCCAGAGCATATCAAAAATACATCTTGGGCCAACACATTAATAGCAAATGCCGATTATGCAGAAGTACCAATGGGTCTATCCAGCATATATGCAGTGATTGCCCATGCTTAGGTCAGACTGAATACTTGCAACGGCATAATAATGTAGTTCACCAAGCTTGCAAAGAAATACCATATAATTGAACAGGAACAGCCATATTATAAATGTAAGCCTGAACAAGACATCAGTAACCATCAGGCGCGTATTTTATGGAACACGACAATTATAACCGACAGAACGGTTGAAGCAAACAGACCTGATATTGTACTGTTTGATAAATCAGCGAAAACAGCGATGATTGTCGATGTAGCAGTTCCTTCAGATGAAAAGCTGATATCAACATTAGCAGAGAAACAACGAAAATATCAACCACTAGCTGTCGAATTAAAGGATATGTACAGACTCCGAGGAGTAGAGATAGTTGCTGTGGTGGAGTCCGTAAATGGTGTAGTTACGAAGAACTGGTAGAAAGCTGGAGAAATTTAAAAAAAAAATCACCAATCCTGAAAAATACGCAGAAAGCTGCTTTACTTGGTACAGCGAACATTGTCAGGAAATTTTTGAACCTTGATTGAGGGATAAATAACCAGAGAACTTACTGTATCACTAGAAGATTGTGAAATAGATTACAAAATTGAGAATTGAGAATAATTATGAAGTGCTTGATCTGTAGACTTTACTTCTTTGTACCTCCATAAATATTGTTCAGACAAATTGTGTCTTGGACAGTAACCCCGATATCTTTTGTATTAAAAAAGATTAATAATAATAATTATAATAATAATAATAATAATAATAATAATAATAATAATAATAATAATAATAATAATAATAATTGTATCGTAAGTTGTTCTCCATTTTCTAATGTTTTCACTATCAGACTGCTAGCAGAGAAATGTGTTATCACAAATCAAAAACAAAAATTATTAAATATTTATTAATATAATGAAGGTACAGAAATTAATCTCAACAATTTATTGGTATTATTGCAACACAGTCTATTTGATATTCACGAAATATACTATAAAACAGCTTTTAAATTAGGCAGAAGATAGTTGTTTAAGATTGCGATCTCTCAGATCGCGCGCGTGAATTCGCGTTACAAACACAGCGCGTCTAACGGAGGGTTAAATAATTACATAATTTGAACATAAATAATCATTTTAATCAATTTTCCCAAATGAAGGATGCTAAACGAAAATTCTAGGACTTCTTTTGGGGGGCCATGGATTCGCCAGTACTTTTTCAATACAAACATTTTAATATTCTTGCAGAATTGTGCTATTATGTCCAACAATTCGAAATGTTGCCGTTGTTCTTCTGTGTATCCGCGAGGTGAGAAGTAAAAAAAACAAACAAGAGGTCAACAGTTTTGGGGTACAATTTAATAAGTAGTAAATACAATGGTCAATAGGTTAAACATAAGACAATACGGGTACGTTCACGAAATAGCCTACTGATAAGTGTGTGCAAATAGTTACAAATGATCGAGTTATGTCTGATCAACCACGACGATCTGTATGACTTTTTTTCGATTAAAAATAATGAGCCGATAGGTTGCGACTTTTATTTCGTGCGCATTTAAGAGGGCAGCGAGTTCGCAATTATCATTCGCTAAGGTTGACAGATTGTGTCACAGTAGACTGAAATCTGTCTGGGATATCTACTATATTATATCAACGTTAAAAAATAATCGTTTTCAGCGACTCGCACCGTGTCAACTTGTCATGTCACCCACCATGGCACACCTGCGCTATCATCCGGCAGTCATGATTCCGCTAATTGCATTGCAACTGTTTACTCGTGCGAGCAGTACTTCTGAAGTGCTGTTCCGCCAGCGTAATGCGAGCACATGTGTGGGAGCGTGCATATTATTGCAGTAGAGGTGGTGATCAGGTGATGGTCGGGAGGGGGGTGTATCCACGCGTTTACGTGCGTGATATGAATCGGTTTGTTTTATAGGTGTTTGTGATGCTTTTAGTTTTTGAAAGTGCTGTACCTGGCAGCGTTATCATAAGGATGACGCGAATTAATGCATCGGGCTAGGACACCACTCTAAAAAATGAGAGATAACGCTGTGATAAAATTCGAAATGGGTTAGTTCACCGGAGGAAACTTTATTCTGACTTTCGAGACGTGTTCTGTTGAACTCAGTTGTGAAGCTCGTAAGTTTTATTCATATTTCTAGCAAATATTTCAACTAAATATAAGATAAACGTGTATTTGATTTAATAATAAGTACATTCGGCGTTCATTAAGCCAAATACGGCGTATTCTATTTTTCTCTAGTGATGGATTCATCCCCTACTGTATTGGTGACGGGAGGTGCAGGGTATGTTGGTTCTCACACAGTTGTGGAACTTCTAAAGAATTCTTGCACGGTGGTGGTCATTGATAATCTTGTTAACTCTTGTAAAGGTGAGGTGAACTTTAGTTGGGTAGTCTGTTGTAATGTGCATTGCTGACACTTTTTGACTAGTATAATCTGCAATTTGCATGCTTCTGTCTTCTATATTTACTTCTAAACTAACAGTACATGACTTGCTTAAGAAACTTTTCTTGTAAACAATAAGTTACATTTGAAAAAGTTTATTTTGTCGTGATATGTTGTATACATATATTTCTTAAAGTTTTTCATTTTGTCAGGAAGTGGCACCTTGCCAGTATGTTTGCAACGTGTACAAGATATCACAGGAAAGCCAGTAATCTTCTACAATGTGGACTTACTAGACAGTAAAGCTCTGGAAAGTGTATTTGAAAAGGTTAGTTGTTTGAATTTCTCTTTCTTGTGTAATTATTTTGAAAGTTCTTAATGAGAATTACATGTGAATTGTATTTTGTTATTTTGTGATGTATTAACGATTTATGTATTTGATCTTTTTCCTTGAACTGTAATGGATCTCTCAATATAAAGCTATAAAAAATTATATTTTCTTTGATATTCACTGAAACGCATCTTTTAGGGTTGAATTTCATTTTTCACAAAAGTATTTTGGCTAAAATATGGTTAGGATTTTGCATTTTCCAGAATCATGGTTGATTACTTGTATATCAAAAGCTCACCTAATACAAAAAATACCCTCCTTTTAACCCGTAGTTTCTCATGCTGGCATATTTTGTACGCCACTTTAACTGTTATTGCCATAGGTGTCAGATAACATCAGCGAGTGTTCTGACGTTTGACCTAACCTCGCAGAAGGCATTTATCTACATCCACCTCGATTCTCAGTTTTGTAAGATTTACTGCAGTGGCTAGACAATTGTATTTTCATTGAAAACTGTTTGGTTTTGTTCTTTCTATGCCACATGGGTACCAATGTGAGTTTTTGTTTTCTTTTACTTATCACAGGATTTTTTAATTTTTTGATGTAATTCAAACTAATTTATTTTGTTTTGCATTAGAAATAATACAGAGATGAATAATTCATTGGAAAAACATATTTAAATTATTGCATGAGAAATCATCAGAAGATGAAAGTTGCAATGCTGCAGGTGGTTCTGAGAAAAAAAATGTTGTAGCCAAGAGTGAACAAGACACACGTTCTGAGCTTGATTATGCTAGTGATTATTCAAGCAGCGATTTAGAGTATAGAGATGATTTCATTGGCAAATGAATGTTACAAAGTGCCATAAAACAACATTCGCCATCATATTTATAAAAACTGGAACTCGGAATTGTCAAGAATAGCACCAACAAAATTAAGAAATCACTGTCACAATTGCGGAAGAGGAAAAAAATGCACTATTACAATTATTATTACACTTATTACTAATTGGGGCAACAAATTTGCATGCAATGATATAATCTTAAAGTGATCAAATACAAAAATTGTTCTGAAGACTAATATGCTAAAATTATTATTATTATTATTATTATTATTATTATTATTATTATTATTATTATTATTATTGTTATTGCTGTTATTACTATTATTATTAGTTAAAATAGTAATAAGTGTACATTTTCAATAAAACTAAATAAAAATGATATTCAAATATTATTCAGGTCTTGCAGAGTTTATTTTTCTAACGATATAGACATGGCATACAAAGTACGTGACACAGGTACTTGTGTCAAAAGATAGCATGCAACATAGCATGACCAAGCTAAAGTGAAATTTAACCGTTCTAAGAAACATAACTGCCACAGTTATCTTCATCATGGCCTTAGATTCACATCAAATAGACTTTACTACATGTTGAAGGGCATTCAACCCAAAAATTTAATAAGTTATTTCAGGTTTTGTTGTCTTGCTGAGTTAGCAGAATATTCATGTCAACTTGAAATTAGTTTTATGAAGCTCACCCAAGAGTACTAGCTTTACCAGCCAGCTATTACGTAATAAATATTTATTGGTTTGGCAATTTGTTTGATGTGCCACAGTGCAATGAATTGCATTCTTTTCGTGCAAAGTAGTTCTAAAGAAATCTTGATTAAGAATCTATCATGCTCAAAATTTTTAATCTAATTTTATAAAATTCTGGGAGAAGTCATTGTTAAGGCCTGATGTTTGAGATTTAAAAATGTTGGAAATGTGCAAACATGTATGAACTAAAAAAAATAGGACCATAAATATGAGTTAAACATTTTTTGTCTGCATTTTCGAAACCAAATATTTTCACTGTTTAAGCGCTGCTTAACCATTGTATTGAAAATATATTTTTGAAATATATCATGTTTACTATTCATCCCTGCCTGCTAAAGTTATTTGTAGAGGCAGTTGACATTGGCAAGTATCCTGACAAACTAAACTAACACTTCCTTTGCTTGTGATGCTTTCTTAGCTTTCTTTTTCTTCTTTATAGCTTATACTTCTAATTCACATACATATTTAAAGTAAAGACAGGCAATAATTAAATACAATAATTGACATCTCTTAAGGACCCTTTTAGTAGAAACAAAAATCACTATATGCAAAATTGAAGGCTAATTAGGTGTCCTATTTGCAAATTTAAGGCTTTGCAATTTTTTTAAAAAAAAACCTTGCCCATCCTATCATTAGAAAAAGATTGCAGGATCCATTTTTAAAATACAAAAAAAACTCGGAATAATTATGAAGCCCTACCCAAAATTTAAGGCTAATTTGAGGCCCTATGAAAAAAAAGTATTCCTGCACTTTTATTCCAAAAATCAGGCCTGAACAAAGAGAAACAATTAACATTGGTTCTTATGAGCGAATAAACCAAAAATCAAAGAACTTCAGGAGAAACAGGAAACTCTACCCAAGGCTCTAATTAAAATAAGGATTATTTTTCCTAAGCCTCACTTTGCCTTACTCTAATAGGTCTTCCTATAATACTAATAAAGGTTACTCTATAGCTCTTACTGTAATACTCTATTGGTAGCTACATTTAACAGAATGCTATAAACCGTAATCATGAAATTGGACTTAAGAGGTGATTCACATACATATTTAAAGGAAAAATCTGGTCAAAATTGACATTCACATGATCTGGACAGTCAACATGACATCATTGACATTATCTGGAGAAACAAGAAAGCCCTGTTTGAATTATTTAATCTATTGGTAAAGGAGGAAAAGAGTAGGATTTATAGTAAATGAACAAAAAACCAAGAATGTGCAGCTTACTAATTTCCTTAGACGAGGAATTCAACAAATACAGATAGACAACAACCAGTTTCAGAAGGTGTAAAACTTGAATTACTTGTGAGCTGTATCAAATCCAATATGAAATTATTGAAAGAATTTGAATAGGACAGAAGACGTATTATGCTTGTTTAAAAAATCAAGGTCAAAGCTAATAACAAGGTATATGGAGATGAGATTTTACAAGACCTTAATACTTCCAATTGTAACATAAGCCTGAAGTCGGGACTCTCAATAAAAGAAGATATCGACAGCTTAGGATATTTGAGAGGGATATATCTTATAGAATATCTGTCCAATCCAAGTGCCTCCAGATATACGAAGAATAACAACCAACCAAGAAACAGATAATCTAGTAAACTGTGAGGATATACGATTCATTAAAGCCCAGCAAATAAAATGGATAGGCTATATACAAATAATGCATGGCAATAGGTATCCAAAGAAGATTATGGAATGGATAGTAACATGTCGACAAAAGAAAGAAAGACCAAGAACTCAGTAGATGATGACGTGTGGCAGGATTTCTGGGTGCTTAATGAAAGAAAATGGAGAGTAAGGATAATGGAGAGGGGAAAATTGATCAATATAGTCCTGAAAGCCATGACTCTCAAAAAGTTGTAGTGTTAATCGAAGAAGTATATCTAATCCATTCACTAACTTACATTCAAAGATAAATTCCTGAAGTTGCATATCATTTAAGTATACTGTACTTTTTTTACTCATGGGTCACATATCCTGCAGCATGTATCACACATCCACTCTTCATATATTTATTGTCATGTTTTCACCCTTACACAATCATGTTCATAATGTGCATTTCCATTCCCATAAACTGAAAGATTTCTACAATTTATAAGGGCAGATAAGAGTTATTATTTTTTTTTTCAAATAATAAGTGTAATGTAGATTAAACTTCAAATTTAAAACATTGAACAAAGTCTATGAAATAAAAATTTGTTTGCTTTTGTAGCACAAGATTGATCTGGTCTTGCATTTTGCTGCTCTTAAGGCTGTTGGAGAATCATGCCAAATTCCACTTTCATACTACAGGAACAATGTGGTTGGATCCATTGTTCTCCTAGAGGTAAGGTTTTGACAAGATATTTGCCAAAGTGGGAATTGGCTTAAGCTGAATTGTTTTTCAGCTAGTCAATTGAATTCTAATATATATGTGTGTGTGTGTTTTAGACTATGAAACAGTACAATGTGTATAAACTTGTATACTCATCATCGGCTACAGTCTATGGAACACCTCAGTACTTGCCATTCACAGAAGCTCATCCTACCGGTCAAGGTTGCACCAACCCATATGGCAAAACTAAATATTTCGTGGAAGAAATTATTCAAGATCTTGTGGCCTCTGACAAGGTAGGGATTGGTAAATCTTTGGCTTCTCAATGAACGTTTATTGTCTTAACATATCACTTAAAAGTACAATTTCAAATTAATTTTTTTATTTTAAATTTTTTAAAATTTAAGATTGCATCAACTGCTAGGTTATTAGCGACCACAATAGATTAACAATATGGTTAACAGTATGTGATATGGTGATGGTGAGGGGTAAAAGGATGAACACAAATACAACAGTGCCTGAGGCGGGACTCGAACTCGCGATCTTTCAATCTAAGATTGCTACGGCAGTACTGCCTTAACGATCTCTACTATTCGAACAACTTTCAAAATCTTTATTACACAAAAATTTTAAAAATTTAGAAAAGTTTAATTGTTCAGAGTTAAGACATGGAATTTTGTCTTCAGAAAAGTATTCCTTTAATAAAAGTGTGTGTGTGTGGGGGGGGGTTAATTAGAAAAAAATGTATCTAAAAGTTTTCAAGGGCCGCTTTTCTTAAGAGAAATAAAATAATATAAAATTGTATGAAACTATGCATACATTTTTAAAATATTAGCGAGTGCTGGAGCTGTTTTGAAAGTAATCCATGTACAAATGGAGAAACCATGACAAGTTAAAATTTAACCCAGTCATCTTGTCAAATATTAAATAAGTAAATCTAAATTATCAAAATTGGTTAAAAAATAAAATCTCGAGTGTACCACAGCTGTTAACTGTTTCAGGTGACAAAAAGACCTTATTCAAATACTTTTGTTGCTGCTCGATCATTAGATCCCTTTAACGCCCTTGGTGCATAAATAACTATTACTGAATTGACTGTGAAAAACAAGAAAGGATTAATTATGCGTAATGTTAAACTTTGACAGTTAGTAGTAGTGCAGTGAGAGGAACATAGCTTAATTCAATATAGAACATTAATAGTAGAATTAAATGGTTTTATTTAAATTGGTCTGTGTGCTGTCATATTTTTGGGATTAATCTATAAAGGAAATTAAGAAGTTGTACAGAACATTCATTAACCAGGCATACACATCTAGAGAATATAAAAAACGGGAATAATTTGTCCTAAAAATCAGATTTTGCAATCACAATCTTTGTAATTGTCAGAGAATTAATGAAAAGCAAGTTGCTGTAAAAGTTATTGTTTAAAATCTTGGTGTTCGAAGTGTGATAATTGGTGAATAAAATCGAGAAATGCCTTCATGAATTTAATGTTTATATAATGATTGTGTATAAATTAATTATCGAAAATTGTTAACAAAAACAATTTTTCAAAACCCATTGGGGGGAACATTAACTGGGTTGTAAGAAATAATTTCACCGCAAACAAACAGCAAATTTATTTAACGCAAACAAACGTCCAAGTCCAGTCCCCGCTGAAATCATACATAACATTAAGACTTGCACTTTCTTACACAGGTAAAGAACATGCGATAAATTTTAAATTATGTACTATTTACAAAAGATTTGACATTCCTGAGGCAACTTTGGCTTGACGGTGAGATGTAAAACTGAATCATTGACAATTTAAACAAAACATTAACACCCAATACATTTTCTGTGTACAAAGGGCTATCAGAGCCCAAAGAAAGGAAGAAAAAACAACTACAAATAAACGTTTTTTCACCTGTATCGCTCTTGGCCTCATGGTCTGGCTAGAAGCAGGCTGAGTCATCTTGGCAATGTGCTAATGCCTTGTAAAAAAAAATAAAAATATGACCCCCCCTCTCCCCCATCCATTGTCTTTGCCATCTTTATTGGGAGTTAGCAGGTGCCCTTATTCGGGGCGCTTGTCTTCGGGGGCCCCTGTGACATGCACCGGTTTCACCAACTTTGTTACGGTCCTGCTCATTCCCCATGCTCCATTTCTCCAAACATGTGCGCGAACTCAGCGCATGTGCTCGCAGACCCTTCATAAGCTATATTGCTCTCGCCCCCTGCCCCCTCGACTCACTTGACAGCAGTGGCCAACGAGGCGCATGTCTGTCCAGTGAGTGGCTGCAGTGTGACATACTAAGAGGGTGATTCTCTCGAGTGGCCTTCATTGTGAAACCAATTTATATTCATCACTTTACTATTGTAACTATGGAGTGGGGAATTCATAATGTAGCCCATATTGCGTTGGAACACAAAACGTCTATCAAGGTGGAAAATTTAACAGCCGTGATTGTCCTAGGCAGAAAATGTGGTTACATGAATCTTTGAAAAATACTTCATTAAAAACAGGAGAACATTCTAAAGCTTAGAATACTATATGCACTTTTTGCTTCATCATTTTTTTTTTCTTTCAGAAATGGTCAGCGGTAGCATTAAGATACTTTAATCCTGTTGGTGCCCATGAATCAGGTCGGATTGGAGAAGCACCTCAAGGTGTGCCTAATAACCTAATGCCGTATATAGCCCAGGTGGCCGTGGGTGAGCGAAAAGACTTAAAAGTCTATGGAAGCGATTATGATACTCCTGATGGAACTGGTGAGTAAACGTTTGTCTTGTAAGGTTTGAAATCATATTAAAAAGCAATTTAATTTTCCAAAACTCAAATTTACACTTATGACAAACATGTTTTGAATAAGAGTTTTGTTAATAGGGCTTCATCCACGAGACAAGAGAAGTTAACATCTCTTTTTTTGTCATATATTGTTTATTGTAATATGCCATATAAGTGACTGGCTGAGTCTCATTACCTGTCTCTGGAATGACTCTGACTGGGAGGTCGAGTCCGAGTCCCAACAGTGGCTGATTGCTAGCTAGATAGCTAGGTCAAAATCAGCCACTGCACAGCGTGTAATTTTGGTATTTTGTGGGAAAAAAGTCAGAATCTACAAAATTATAAGTTGTTTGTGGTTCTAGAAATCATATATTGAAAGTAAACTATAATGTTAATGTATGGAACAATTTTCTTGGAAATATTTTGAGGTAAAGATTTTCTTGTGCAAAAATAGGAAGTTGGTCAACAGGTGTCTATTCGCGAACTGAGAATAAAAATCAGACATAGAAATAAAATGAGTATGTAATTAATTAACAAATGAAAGATATTGTTGTATTATTGATTGTGAACCAATGAGAGTAGAAAAAAAAATCTGGATTAGCCAATACGCAAACAAATTAAAGTATACATAAAAAATAATTCTTATGATCCACTAAGTGTGTGCTGTAGTGTAGTGCACGAATGTGTGTGGTACCGTTCACGAATACAAGGTGCAGTTCACGAAAGTGAGTGTGTAAGTGTGAGGGTTCATGGAAGTTAAAGGAAAAATTGTGTGCGGTCTGTGACCAGTTTGTCCCGTGATTTGCCTGGTGTTGATCGTAGTAGCCAAGAAAAACTATTCAGAGCAGCCGGTCATTGAAATTCACCTCGAGTATCGCACAGTGTGTCATTTTGGCCATCTAGCTGAAAAAAAAAAGTTGAGTTTTCATAGAACTCAGAAAGGTTATCTGGCTTATTTGATTTTAAAAGTACATAGTACAAATATAGTAGACAAAAAATGAGAATTGATTTTCTTCTGAATCGCTTGAGGGGGCAGTAGATATTCCTCATCTCTCGGTGAGATTGGTTAAACGCTGTATTCTTTGTTCGTAAGTTCACAAAACCTCGTGCAAGAAGTAGATTACTGGTCAATCTTTGTTCTGCCAATTGTTTATCTATCCGAAATGCGCGGCGCGAAAAGACGCGCCTTTCCGCCGGGTGTCCCTGGTAGATTCGGCGACCGAGGACGGTAGCAGCGGTTGCATCTTTTCTTCTACTGACTGCGTGATAAAATGCTCTCCCTCTGTATTCCATGGTCTCCAGCGGCCCCATATAGGATGTCTCAGAGTCTGTTCTAACATTTAAAACAAATATTGAGGCCAAAGGCCTCGAAGAAACTTATCTCACACCGTTATCTACAGCACGTGATCTTTTTTAACATTTTATTACATTTCTGCTGTGGGGAGTGGGGGAGACGGAGAGAGGGAAAGGGAGATTAAGGGTGGAACAACGTCTGCTGTGTTCCGCTTGTTCTGTATTAAAAGCTTGATTTATAAAATGCTGTGAAAATTATGACTTTAAAATTACTCAATTTTTCAAAACATCCCATGAGCAGTTAAGAGCACCTTTTACTCATCTTGGGGCTCTTCTGGAGAGAAAAACATTTCAAAACAATTCGTGAATGACTATTGTGATATAAGTGCCAGTTGATGCACGTAATCTCAAACTAGTGAAATGCACCTGACAGCACCGTTCAGTAACAGCGCTAGTACCTGTGTGATCGGACTTTTACTGCTGCCTCAAGCGCTTGTGTGCTACACTTTCGCACACACGTCCCTAACACCCCCCCCCCAACACCCCCCCACACCAACACATACACACCAACATAACAACCACACAACCACCGCACACAACACAGCACACACCACACATCAACACCACATAACATCACATCAGACAACACACACAGCAGTTCCAAACACACATTGCACCAAGCACACACACACCACACTCACACAGGTAGCCAACCACACACCACACCCACACCAACATACATCACAACACCAACACCCAAACATCACATCACACCACATTAGGACGTCCACCAACACACAACCACACACGCAACCACACAATGAAGCCACACACACAACACCACACACACACACCAACACACACACAACACCAACACACACACACACACCAACACCACACACACACCAACACACACACACACCAAACACACACACACACCAACACAACACACACAACACACACACACCACGACACACACCAACACACACAACAACCAACACACACACACACCAACACACACACTACCAACATCCCACACACACTCTATTTCGGGCACTTTGCTGTACAACCACAACACAGCACACCAAACACACACACACACTCAGACACCCACACACACACACACCAACACACACAACAACACACTTGTGCAGAGCAACACACACACACACACAGCCAACACACACACACGGGTAACCAACAACACACACACACACACCAACACAACACACACCGAACACCCACACCCAACACATACACACACCTGTCCAACAACACAACCACAACACACACACACACCAACACACACACACAAACACACACACACCCCAACACACAAACAGCCACCACAACCACATAACACACACACCAACACCAACACACACAACACACCACCAACACACACACCAACACACACACACAACAACACACACACACACACAAACACACACACCACACACACACCAACACACACACACACACACACACCAACACAACACACACACACACACACACACACACACACCACAAACACACACACCAACACACACACAACAACACACACACAACACAACCAACACACCACAACCAACACACACCCACACACACACCAACACACACACACACACACCACACCAAACACACACACAAACACACACACCACCATCACACACACCAACACACACAACACCACCACACAACACACCAACACCACACCAAACACACACCAACACAACACCAACAACACACACCAACAACCCACACCAACACAAACACCAACACCACACACACCAACACACACACACCACACACACACACACAACACACATCACAAACCAAACACACAACACAACACACACACACCACACACAACACACAACACACACACACCAACACACACACCACCACACCAAACACCAACAGCACACACAACACAAACACAACACACACACACACACCAACACACACTCCAACACACACACACCACCAACAGCAACCACACACACACCCAACACACCACAATGATAACACCAACACACACACAACACACACACACACCAACACACACACACCAACACGACACACACCAACCACCACAACAACCCAACACACACACACAACACACGACCACAACACACCCAACACACACACACCAACACACAACACACACACTCAACACACACCCAACCCCCCCCCCGACCAACACACACACCAACCACACACAACACACACGCCAACACACACACAAACACACACCAACACCCCCCCCTCAACAACAATGTATAGTTTTCATTGTGTGTTATTTATTTTAGGTGTAAGAGATTATATCCACATCACAGATCTTGCAGAAGGGCATGTCAAAGCGATTTGGCGACTAATGAAGCAGTCAGAACCAAGATGGCAAGCCTATAATTTGGGAACTGGTCAAGGTCATTCAGTATTGGAAGTTATTCATGCTTTTGAGGAAGTGTGTGGTCGTAAAATTCCTTATGAAATTTGCCCTAGACGCCCTGGGGACATAGCAAGTTCATATGCAGATCCATCACTGGCCAAAAAAGAACTTAATTGGGAAGCAAAGAAATCACTTTCGGACATGTGTAAGTTGTATTAATTATGTAGTCTTATGCATTATATGTAGTAATATGTATTATTATTCCTTGTAATCTTATGCAGGTATCAAGCAAGATCAGTTCAAAATAACAAATTTATTCAATTTTTAACAATAATAATTTAGCTTACAATAAGAGCATTAATAAACAATAGCAGAATTTCTTGTAATTGTAATTACATAAGTCAATAAATATTTCATTAGCATAGATTAATAGAATAAATGGTTTATATTTGTGTACAGGTTCACACACAAGGAGAAATTCTTTGTGAAATAATATATCACAAATCAAATTGATGATTGATTGACAATTGATCAAATTATTGTTTCCTAATATATAATTTGCATTGCAGAATGTGGAGTTGTATAGTGTGAAATTATAATAATTAATTAAGCGCAAACCTTATTTATACTTTAAAATAATTCTTAATATCTACAACTTTGGTATTGTTGTAAATTCGTGTTTAATTTCGCTTGGATAAGTAGTGCCTTTACGGATGTCACTGATGTGAAGTGGTGTGATGTGGATTAAAAAATAAGGGAATTAGGTGTATTAATTTTGTGTAGAGATGTATGGGAAAATTGTATGAGAAAATTCAAACACTGTTTGATTAAAACTTACATGATATAATTAAGCACATAATCAGTATTTTAGTGTTATTGGTCATTGTCTTTGCAGGTCGTGACATGTGGCGTTGGCAGTCACAGAATCCACATGGATTTGAAGAAGAAAAACAATAATTCTAAAAAGTATTGGGATCAGACATGCTTCTTTAGAACATAAATGGTAAATCTGTGGCGAAGTCCAGAATGTGTGACAAATATATATTTCGTACTATTTTGCGCTGACTGGGGTGGAAAAAAGGATACAACTTGATATAAATGGCAAGACCAATTCATGAAATGAATATAATGAAAAATATGTATATAACCAGTATATAAATACTAGTCATGAATAGTTTGTAAAAATCTGTTGGTGTGTAATTGTATATAAAGAACCTAATTTTTGATAAGCATTGGTACAAAGGCATTGCTCACATTTTATAAGAAAGCATATTTGTCATCCACAATTCTTCTGCTCATCAATAGTCGTTAGATGTGAAAGGATCTAATTAGGCCAGTAATATGTATCAACTCTGTTATTTTAAAGTAAGTAAGTAATATTTATTCACTGTACCGACAGTAAACTACTTTTTGGAAGATGACCAAATAGGGGTGACAGTCTTTTAAACTTTTTTTTTCTTATAGAGTATATTATTTGTAGGAAGTGTTTTTAAAGGCTGGTATTTAAAATTGTTAAATTTTATTTATAAAATACATTAAAAAAAGCCCGAAGACACTTGTTTTTATTATTGTTATTATTATTATTCTTTCTTCTTTTTTCATTCTTCAAAATTTCAATACAATGTTGATGTGAGGTCATGAATTTACTGTACTTGTGCGTACTTTTTTGGATTGCTGAACTGTATTTCTGAGATACTTCAGATTTTGGAGTACTATTCTGCATGGGTTAAAATGTTGAAAATTATTGTATTCTCAGAAACATAAGTTATTTATTTAATAATAATGGATACTATTATATCATAACTAATGTTTTGTTTCTTTTTTCAAAGATGTGATATTGTTTTTTCAGTAGTTAGATACATTTTTATTTATATGTTATTTATTAATTTATTCTTTTAGTTGTATTCAGTGTCAAGTTTCTGGAGGAGCTCTCAGGGAACATTCCCATTAACAATTATGAATATTCAGAATCAAAAAATAGTAAGGCAGAAAATTCAGGTATCTGCTGATTTTTGTAACACAAGAGGGTAATAATATTTTAATTTTTACATTTGCAGTAGTTTATTTTTCCTTTAATATTATTTCTAGATATGATATATCATCTGAATTACTTGTTTACATTTAAGATGAAAGATAAATATGGTTATGTTATCATTATTACAGTTATGTTGTGTATACTTTAGATGTTGAAGACAGTTAAATAGTACCACTTTTGTTTTCAGAAAATCAACACATGTATTAATGATTAAAATTCTAAATTCCTCAATTAAAAAAAAAATATTTATGTTTCATAAGAGTTGAAGAGCCCTATGCCCCATTGTTTTCTACAAGGGTTCTTAATGTATATCTGCATGTAATTATTGCTCCAATAGCGCAGTGGAAGTTTGCCCAGGCTTTGAAGTTTGCTTAGAAACTGCATAATCCAGTCAATTCATTTTATTTCTCAAAGTGTAAGTGATTATTCAAACATGAAGTTAAATTCAGAAGTATTGTAAAGCAGTCACTTCATTGATATGAAGGCCAGATGTTACATTGATGAGGGTAAACAAAATAAGACATTGTCTTGTAGATTCCGCACTTGTAAATAGAATTCAAATGGATAATTGTAAATTTCATCTAGGTAGTGTTTTTAGACAAGGGGAAGCTACTTTAGAACAACAATGCTTACACGCAATGCAGAAAATGGTTTATAAGCAAACCTTATTCAGGAAAGAGGAATAAGATTTTTGTACACATTCACTTTTTGGAAACAATTGCAGGAACACTTATTAACAGAACTGTTTTTTTCTTGAAGATGTTATTTTAAATTTTTATTCTTTAGTTTTGTTATTGTAAAGGATAACTGGAAACTAGAGTTTACCGTTAAATGTGTTATATTGACAGTTAACTGTAAACTCAAGTGAACTATTAATTATAGGAAGTGTGATTTTGGAAGAAATGTAGCAAATTATAAAGAAAGATAGTAATGACTAGAAATCTGAAACTCAAGAAGAAAGATAATTAAATGTTGCATTGGTCCTATATCTTGCCCAGGCCATGAAGTTAAGAGAATTCTCAGGAATGAAACAAAACATTTGTGCCTAGATCAGGCCTGTAGCCACAAATTAATTCTTTGGGGATTCTAAGTAAAAAGTAGTAATGAAGGTAGTAAGGGGTCAGTCATGCAAATGGTAACAAAGAAGGACAATTACAACATGTACAAAATGTATGGTTATTATGATATTTAGTATTTAAAAAACAATTAATGCTACAGTTTCATTTAATCAGTATTAACTCTTAATTTCATAATGTTCCCAGGAGTGTTTGGATATTGCATTAATACCACTGATGCACAATTATTCCGAGGCACCCAAGTAATCTTGTGATATTACTGTAGGCCTAACTGATAATTATAATATCAGTATTTTCAGCATCATAATTTTTTATAAACAAATAAAATAAGAACAAAAAATTAGATTATGTAATAGTAAAATTTGTTAATATACATTCTGGACAACTTTGTTACAATATAATGTGTGTGAAATGTCATTTCCAAACTCATTAACATACTTTTTGTTGCTACATCACAATTTTTGGTTTTACCATTCAAAAAATGTTCTGCTAGCATCTCTGGCAAAGTAAAGTGCATTCCACTTAAAACAAATCGGTTCTTTTATTAATTTGTTTGGCAAGTTTAGAACATTTTAGGAAGCTCTTTTCCTTGAAAAGTTATTTTAAATCAATAGGAATTTTTGTGTGTTTTTTACAATTAATATACTTTTTGTATAAATTAACTTTTTCATGTTTGAACCAGCTCAAAGATATTTTGAGGGTGGCTGGGTCTCCCTCTCCTGTCTCTGACAATTTGTCTAATGTAGGAGCTAATGAAACGTGGTGAACAAAATGTCTGAGAGAGTAGAGATCATGGTATAGAAGATACTTTTTTAGGTCAATGCTGTTTGCTATAATTAATATATTACATACCGATACTATTATTTAGAACTGATCTCCATCAGATAATTTTATTAAGTTTTCCTTTTACCATTGAGCAAATGCTTGCTGTGATGGTCTCATTGCTTCTGAACACACAGTTGTCTTTCCAAGAGTGACAGTTTTTGAAATAAAATAGACATGCATCCAGGATTTTTCTCTGGGAGCGGGGGTCACAGATAATTGTATCCGGCTGGGTCAATTTCTTCTAAAGAATTTTTGTGTTTTGGCTTACATTGTTTGAATGCTGGGGAGGAGTGAGGTATCTGCAATTTATTCATGTAATTGTAGAAGCTATTATTATTATTATTATTATTATTATTATTATTATTATTATTATTTTGAATTTATATCATTGGTTTCCAGGGTGGGAGGTGGCTGAAGCTCCCCAATTCCCCTCTAGGTGTGCCACTGTAAATAAGTACTTGCTATAGTTTTCTTTTTTTCAATTATTTTTTGAATTATTAAATGATTAAGCATTTGCATTTGAACGTAAATTAATTCACACACATTGAACACATTTCATTATTCAAATTTCATTATAATAGATTTCTTTCTAGTAAGAAAGTAGTGCTTGATGCACAGGTGGCAAAACTTGCATAAATTATATTCCCATAATAATATCTTGGCTTACATTGAATGCTGGGCAGGAGTGAGCTATCTGCACTTTATACATGTAATTCTTGAAGTGCATTTGATTTCTTGACGGGGAATTTTCTTAAATGTGTGGAGTATAGCTTCATAGAGTAGTGTCTGATATGATTTTGATACTGTTGAATGTCATTCTCCCTATTGCTGGAAAGATGGAAAAGAATGAATCAGGATTGGTTCATAAGAGCTGAAGAGCCCAATTGTTTTCTACAGGGGTTCCTAATGTGTGGGATTTGAAAAAAATAGGAAAACAATACCTATAGAGAATTTTGTGAACAAATATATTGATGCGATGGAGCTAATTCGTCTAATCGTTAGCTCCTGGTTGTTCTTTTCGGCCATTTCATTTCGATGTATTTCATTGTATAAAAATTTAATGAGGTACGTAATACTTGTCTCATTCTTGGATACTGAGTTACACTGCATTTTTAATACTGATACGCTCAAGTACAACCAGTATTAACTCAGTTCACACAAATAGTGTTTTACGTCATTCGATATTCACTGTGCATTCGAGTTCAAACGTGCCATCTGACGGCGGTATTCTGAAACAACGCGGCAGGGTTTTTGTTAGTTGGTAAAAAGTAGTGCGAAGAGGAGTACGGGATTATCGAAGCGCTAGATTGCTATGTAGTCCTAGAGAAGACGTGTCGGTTCATTATTTAGTTCAGTGATTCAGACGAAGGAAGGATAATAAAGTTCAGTTCGATATCATTGAGAAGAACTACTTTCACCAGCGTGTGCGTAGTAGTGACTTGTTAACGGGTGTTGGGTGTTGGTGCCCAGCCCTAATCTATATCGTTTTGTGTGGTGTTCGAAACAAGAATTTTTCTACTAAAGTGAATGGCTGAAGTGACAACTCTCTAAGGTAATTGCAAGTTTTCTTTGTTGTATTCAATGCACGTTTAATCTATAGGTTAATACTCTAAACTGGCAAAGACAACACTGGTCAATGTTCCCACAACTTGTACTCTTAATGCCGTCGACTTGAATTCGAAATTGGGCGTCTTACTGTATTCCTTCCAAGTAGTGTAATTGTCTATAGCAGTATGTTGCTACTTGGCGATTTTGTGCGAGTTTGCAATTCGATCACCTATAGTATAATTTATAAGTTTTCAAAAACGTGAAGCCCAAATGTGGTTGATCATGTTTATCTGTCAAGATGTTTTTTTATTATATTGCTTTGAAAATGCCCGGGAGGATGCGCGTAACCTCAGAATATGGGTTTTCATTGTTGATACCCTGCGTAGGGAGATTGCTGCAGCCTTATACTTCTGTGTTTATATTTATGAAAATTATGTTTGACCACACTATTCTTTCATATTTAATAATGCGCATGATTATGCGCCGTGGGTGAATAAAGATAATTTTATATTGCTTGTAATGATAAGTTGCTTGCTTACTCATTTTAATTTGAAATTTACATATAACGTAATATTCGGATTTATATTAGCATTGTTAAGTTTCCCAAACCCTAGACAATGATAAATTGTTTTGGGGGTGAAATAAGTTAGTGTTTATAAAGGATCCCTTTAAGTCGTCCACTGTTCGGTTTTGAAGGCATGTTTTCTTTAATCATAATTGTTCCAGTTTCGTATGTAGATCAGTCCATTCGTATTGAGGTTAAGTTTGCACTGTTCGATTTCATAAAGCTGGAAATAAAATTGAGTAACAATTCGATTCATAATATTAATTTGTTTGGGGAGGCAATTAATTTTCTAAAATCTCTGATTATCGAATTTATAATTAGAATTGAAATTTACAAGATCAGTTGAATTTGTAATATTACACTTCTGCAAACTTAAGTGTCTTATTATTAATATCATTGTTATAGTACTGTTTAACTGTTCCCTGATCTCTGTAATCACGGTACTGCCCGGCCAATGCGCGAATGAACCGGGAATGTGGAAGTGCCACGATTGTCATTCAGAATAAGCAGTCACTAAAATTATAGCAGGTCTTTCTTCAAATATTGTGCCCAGAGGAAAACGACATGCAATGCCGCCAACGTAGCGAGACATGAAGGAAGTGTTGCGGACAAACCGCATAGGGATATGCAGTAAATGTCAATACCATCAATATAATGAATTATTGATAACGTTGAACTTGGGTAAGGTGAGACCTAATTGTCTTTATAGGAAAACTAATGAATGACTGATTTTCTTGGTGAAATTCAGGTTCGCGATCTCGATTACAGTAAGCACCACTAGCCGAACTGATTTGTTTAATGACAATTTTTGGCATATTTAAGGTCATCGTTGGATCCAGCGAATTTTCTACATTTAAGGTTTTAAATAACCTCAGCAATTTCCGAATTTGTTTTATCTCCTTTGTTTCCCATTTTGAGGTTCTTGGCATTTGAACCATTGTATCACAAAGTGTCAATATTGTGCCTAGTGCAAATACTTTTTTTGTCTGAGATATTTTAGGCGTAATTCTTCATTTGATCCTTGTTATCTTGCACTTTTTATATTTTAGAAGTCTTGTTCATTCATGTGTAGATTGTAAATTACGTACACGAAAGCTCTTAATAATTTTTTCGAGTAATATTATTTTAGTCAGATATATTCCAAACTTTGTTAGAAATTACTTGTCAGTAAAGGATCTCCTTTTTGAAATTTTCTTGTTTTCAGAATTTGCACTGCCTGTACTTGTGTATAAATGTCTCAAATCATTTATTCCATAGTAAATTCCTGTCTAATATTTCCAAAATTTTATTTTGTTACATAGATAAACTACAAACCTGGAGAAACTCGCAGCTCCTTAATGTTATTCGCGCAAACTGAAGATATGAATTTGTAAACCAGATTGTAATAATCGTTGTCTTATGTCATTGCTTCAATTTTTAGTGTGTAACGTTCAGATGTTTCAGATTTTCTCAAAAACATATGGTAATCCCTGACCCAACCGTCATAAATGCCAACTATGTATTAAAAATGAAAACTGGATAGATCATGTGCGTGGTAGTCAGGTACACATCACTTGCTATCTAATACCAGTTAGCTGGCTTTATTGTTAGTCTGCGCTACGAATCGCGTGACCAACATGTGTAACTATTTAGTTGTACGGTGGGGGCTGCGAGTCGATAAGCCGGGCCCTCAGCATGGTCTCCGAGAACTGCATTTCCCTCCATAGGGGAAAAAATCCCAACTGGAGGCTCCCGCAAGTGGCGGGTGCGCGTGGTAAAGATGCCCGTGCCGATCGTAGTCACGACAGCAGGCGACGGGTCAATACCGCACCCGTCGCGTGGGTTCGAAGCCAGGCAGTCGCCACCGCCTCCATTGCCCGACGTCTGGTCAGTGCCGACAGGGGAGGCGGCGACGCCTGGCGTCGGGTCGTCGCGCCTTCCTCCGTATCCCGCCCCGCTCCTCCCCACCCGACACGCGTGGACACGCGCCGGACGCAGGGGCGCAGGACACCAGCTCGACGGCCCACTGTCGTCCCTTCCTGCCACGCAGTGGGTCCTTGGGTTTGGTTTATCGGGACAAAAATGAGAAACATGGTACCTTTGCGATGGCTGTGGAATAGCCGAACATTTGCGAACTTTCTCTGTTGAAAAGGTGAATATTAATACACGGGTAGAGGGGTCAGAAGACACTCGTTCATTATGCAGTTGGCATCTGATAATTCAAGCTGCATTAGATCGCCAAATATGCCTTGCAGATGACAGTGCCGCGCTCCTAATTCGCTGCCTCGAGTGCAGTGGTCTCCAGAAGTACACATATGGTGCTACATGTGTCATAACTATTTGAGACAGAATTGCTGAGGCCTTCAAGAGATTTCGAATATAAGTATTGTAATCCAGATTGTCGTTGAATTAGCTTGATATTCGTTTACCTAGAAAATCGATACACTATATAATATTGATACAGTGTATACGGAAGCTGGTTAGTGAACGATGTGTGGAAGTCTCAGTGATACCGCTAGTGCGACGTGCCTCAGATTTGTCTTTCAGTATTTCAGATTGTTAATTGATGCCCAGAAGTAAGTTATGTGCATCGTATTTTCATTTTCACAAGTTCAAGGTATGAGAATCGGTTGACTTTGATTCCAGTTCTTACAATGGCTCGACTTCGAGATGTGAGAATAAGTGCACAGTGCCACCTATAATTCTTTTCATATCACACCACGCCATAATTCATTGATATCTGAAAGTCTGGTCACTGTAATAGTGCCCGTGAGTACTCTTAAGGCAGGCAAAACACAAGTGTGCGTAATATTTACTTGCATGACTAACTTTGTTACACGTTGGGTAACTTATTGTACATATTTTTTTTTATTTCAGGAGTAAACTGACAGGTCCTTCCACAGTTGCAAAACAACATTGTCACGTGGTATGGTTAGATTGTTTCATGGGAACTCTGAACGTGTTGTGAGAATCTATGTATCAAAATAAACTTTTGTTGACAAGTGGAAAATCAATGCTTTAACATTTGATGTTAGTCGCATCGGTGCTCTCATTTCCATCTTTATGCATAGACGCATCTTCCATGTGTTTTGTTTTTCTCACATGTCAGATGCCAGACAATCGACAGATTGCATTGCTAATGAACCATGAACTTAAATATTTTAATTAGGAAATGGTTCCAACGTGCGTACGATGGTTTAAAAGGAAAAAGAATTTTTGCGAGACAGTTTCTCTTGTCAAGGATGTTAAGTTATTCATATATATTCCAAAAAACTATGTATGTTTGTGGGCAGTATTCTTTTGGGAGGCTTTGAATTAGACCTTCGATTACTCATGGATGTTTTATTAAATGTCGCTTGTTACTAGACTTAATTTCTGAATCGTTTTACTGACGTGTAAAGAAATACAAAGGCGTTCTCGGTCCGTCATTTTTCACCATATTTGTGCTAAGTACCTCACGAACTGGCTTCTATGGGCACAGCCAGGATTGGCTAAATTTTGTCCAGCTCGAAATAAACCTCGTGGATTTATAAAAACATGTAAAACTGGAAGAAAAAAACAAACAAAAGCTCATTGAAATATTTCATTTTTTAAATATTACTTCAATTAAAATTACAAAACATATTTTAATGTATCAAAATATTAATTAAATTCTCAAATTTAAACACAACGAACACATACAAACAGGGCCGTCTTTGGGTTCAGCCTGTCGAGACTTCGGTTCCCCGTGATTAACGGAGCCCTGCAGATGATAAAAAAATCAACAAACAATGCCTCTAATGAATTCTTGTCCAATGAGAAGTTGAAAAAGCAACGTAAAATCATCTAAAACCCTTAAGTGATTTTAATCCCATCCCTCTAATAATATTTTTATAGTTTGCATACCATAAAAGGATGGATTAATTATTAACATTATTTTATATTCACTTTTAGAGACAAAATTATAAATTATGATAGAGTGATATAAATGTTTCAAACAAAACTTAGGGTCTTCTTATCTTTGAGAGTCTCGAGGCATCTAACGGAAAGACGACCGTGTATACAAATATGTACGAAAACCAACAAAGGTACAAAAATGTAAACTAAAAATAAAATGCCAACTTCATTTGCTTTATTGACAATACACTTTCATCACAACAAAGATACAAATAAAAATCGGCCGAGATTGCCCAGTTTACTTTACTTTTGCCTCTGCAGTGACTGACCAGGAAGTCTTGAATTCGAGACTACGGTGGCCGACTTTCGACCTATGTTGTGAACAGCATTGTCGATTTCAGCCGCTGTGGGGAGGAGAATTCGAGCGGACTGCTGTTTTGTTCGGTGGTTTTCCATAGTTTCTCCAGACACTATCAGGCGTATTCCCAGTGAAGTATCCTAACAAATACAACACGTATCGCGTGCTATCTCCTCTCCTCAGTCTCATCCTTTATTTTTCCCTTGCACATACACGCTACTCTCCC